CCCAGATGTGAGCTCTGTGTGCACGTAGACGGTCGGGGGTCCCAGATGCGAGCTGTGTGCGCGCGTTGACAATCAATCGGGGGGCCCAGATGTGAGCTGTGTGCACACGCAGTTGGTCGGGGGCCTGGTGAGGGCTTTCAGAGGGCCAGGGCTGGCTTGGCCCAGGCTTCATCTGTCGTGGGCTTGGTGAGGACTGTTAGAGGGCCAGTGCCGGCTTGGCCCAGGCTTCATCGGTTGGGGGCTTGGTGAGGACTGTTAGAGGGCCGGGGCTGGCTTGGCCCAGGCTTCATCGACACTGAGCACAGAATGGAGCTGATTCTAAACTAAAAAACTAAACCCATTGCTGTCAAGTTGACTCCGACTCACAGTGACCCTATAGGACAGAGTAGAACTGCCCCAGAGAGTTTCCAAGAGCAGCTGGTGGATTCAAACTGCCGACCTTCTCGTTAGCAGCTGAGCTTATAACCACTGCACCACCAGCGGTCTGAGTTGATTCTAGGTGCTGTGAATTAGGAATCACAGTGCTGATGGTGACCTTGCTTCTTTTGGGTCCCCCCCACAGTCGCCAGATCTGACTGTCCAGGAGACAAAGCCCTGGTGTAGCTGCTGATAGAGTTTGGGGTGATCCCCGGCTGCTGTGAGTTAGTGAGGCTGCCTGTGCTCTGTTCTCTCTGGTAGGGGATAGTAGGATTTCCATACCATTCTTAACTTCCCTAAAAAGAATTTCTCTGTTGGAGTCTATCCTTAAAACCAGTTGCTGCTGAGTCCGCTCTGGCTCATGGTGAACCCGTGTGTGTCAGAGTAACTGTTCCATCAGCTTTTCAGTGGCTGCCTTTTCAGAAGTAGAGCACCAAGGCTCCTCTGGAGGGATTCAAACTTCCAGAACCTGGTTGATTTTTAGCGTCAGAGGCTAGAAGAAGGGGCAGGATGGGGGTGTCGGCCCAGGTTCTGTCAGCAGGTCATTTTGTCCCTCCTCCTGTGGAGTAGAAGGAACACAAACCCAGTCAGCTCCAACCAAGAGAGCAGAGTGGTGAGTGCTCATCCCAACCGCCAGGCCTGACGCAAGTGCCCTGTTCCATCGTGAGTTCCATCGTTCAGAGCTTTGTGTTTAAATCACGGCTGCAAACCGGTTCAAATTGGTTCAGTCACGGCCGACAAAGTGAAACTGGAACAGACTCAAATTTTTACAATTTGGGTAATCCGGAACAGGAAAAATTAAGGGTCGAAGTCCTGGAATGGAAGACTCAGAAAAGGGGTGGTGAGCCCTTCAGGGGCCCGATATATGAGACTGGAATATCGGCAGGACTGTGGAGAGCGACACACATTCAAAGCAGCTGGTCGGCCGCCATCTTTGAGTGGGGTACGACTGTTTCGGACTCTTCACAGAATCCAACAGGCAAGAGACTTGGTTGCTATGCAACATGTACACTGCCCTTGTTTTCTAAAAGGGAGATTAGGTTTCTAGCAGGGCTTCCCGTTATCGTTCCAGTTCACCCAACTTCTAAAAATTTGAGTCTGTTCCAGGATCGCTTCCTTGGCCATGACTGGACCAGGAAGAACCAGTTCAAAGCCCTGGTTTAAAATACCAAAAGAAAGATCAAACTTATCCTGCCTGGCAAGAAAACACTAACGCAGTCAGCATCAAGCTAGTCACACACACATGCTTCTCACATTATCTGTGAAGAATTTATACTCCAGCCTGGCCAGCCAGTATTGCCATCGAGCTTTTTCTGAGCACTTCACGAGCCTTTTGTGTGCACAGAGAATTCAGTTTTATTTTAAAATTAGCCTAACCAAAAACCAAAACCAAACCCCTTGCTGTTGAGTCAGTTCCGGCAGGAGAGCATAGTTTGAGTACATTCCTTTGTTATCTAGAATTGCTTTTTTTGTTCCTTACTGTTGTGAATTCTCCAGTCAACTTTACTTAAAGTTTGTTTATTACACCACGTGGTTTGCCTTTGAGGTAGGCAGTGGCTGAAGTGCCAAGGACACACAGAAATCATTCTGATTGTTGTGTTGTTGTGCGCCCTCGAGTCGGTTCCAACTCATAGCGACTGTGTAGAATAGAGTAGAACTGCCCCATAGGGTTTTCTTGGCTGGAATCTTTACGGCAGCACATCTCCAGGTCTTTCTCCCAAGGAGCCACTGGGTGTGTTCAAACTGCCAAGCTTTGGGTTAGCAGCCAAGCACTTAACCCTTGCACCACCAGGGCTCTTTTCTGATTGTTAGTGGAGGGAAGATTCTGCAGCATGTGAGCTAGGAGACACTGTTAGATATGACAGTGGAGTTGTGGTTGTGTCAGAAAAACTTTAAAGCTCCCTCTGGGTTAAGGAGCGGCCGTAGCAATATGATTCTGAGGCACAGTCAGTCAGTCACCACTCCTTTGTGTTAGAGCTCCGTCCCCACAGTGGGACTGTCATTTTTGTTTTGTTTTTAACTTAGGCAGTCTTAGTTATCAAGCGCTGCTATAACGGAAATACCACAAGTGGATGGCTTTAACAAACAGTTTATTCTCTCAAACAGTCTGGGAGGCTAGAAGTCCAAATTCAGGGCGCCAGCTCCAGGGGAAGGCTCTCTCTCTCTCTCTGTCAGCTCTAGAGGAAGGTCCTTGTCATCAGTCTTCCCCTGGTCTAGGAGCTTCTCAGCACAGGGACCTTGAGTCCAAAGGACATGCACTCCTGGCTCTTTTTACTTGGTGGTAGTGAGATCCCCCTGTCTCTCTGCTTGCTTCTTTCTTTTATATCTCAAAGGAGATTGACTTAAGACACAACCTAATCTTGTGGATTGAGTCTTGCCTCATTAACATGACTGCCTCTAATCCTGCCTCATTAACATCATAGGAAAATCACACCAGATGACAAAATGTTAAACAGTCAAACAATACTAGGAATAATGGCTGTCTTAGTTATCCAATACTGCTATAACATAAATACCCCAAGTGGATGGCTTTAACAAAGAGAAATTTATTCTCTCATAGTCTAGGAGACTAAAAACCATCGTGCCCAGTCGATTCCAACTCACAGCGACCCTGTAGGACAGAGTAGAACTGCCCCCATAGGGTTTCCAAGGAGCAGCTAGTGGATTCGAACTACTGACCTTCTGGTTAGCACCCAAACTCTTTAACCACTGCGCCACCAGGGCTCTGTCTAGAAGGCTAGAAGCCCGAATTCAGGGTTCCAGCTCCAGGGGAAGGCTTTCTCTCTTTGTCAGCTCTGGGGAAAGATCCCTTGTTATCTATCTTCCCCAATCGAGGAGCTTCTTAGTGCAGGAACCCCAGGTGGAAAGGACACGCTCTGCTCCTGGCACTAGTTTCTTGATTGTATGAGGTCCCCCATGTCTCGCTGCTCGATTCTTTCTTTTATATTTCAAGAGACTGACTTAAAACACAACCTAAACTTGCAGATTGAGTCCTGCCTCATTGCTTAACTTCAGGTAATGCCACCTCATTAACATCATAGAGGTAGGATTTACAACACATGGGAAAATCACATCAGATGACAGAATGCTGGACAATCACACAAATAGGCTTAATCATGGCCCAGCCAAGTTGACACACATTTTTGTTGTTATTGTTAGGTGCCTTCTAGCCAGTTCCGACTCATAGCGACCCTGTGTACTACAGAACCAAACACTGCCCGGTCCTGAACCATCCTCACAATCATTGTTATGCTTGAGCCCATTGTTGCAGTCACTGTGTCAATCCATCTCTTTGAGGCTCTTCCTGTTTTTCAATGACCCTGTACTTTACCAAGCATAATGTCCTTCTCCAGGGACTGATCTCTCCTGAATAACGTGTCCAAAGTATGTAAGACGTAGTCTCACCATCCTTGCTTCTGAGGAGCATTCTGGTCATACTTCTTCCAAAACAGATTTGTTAGGTTTTTTTGGCAGTCCGTGGTGTAGTCAATATTCTTCACCAGCACCACAATTCAAAGGCGTCGTTCTTCTGCGGTCTTCTTTATTCATTGCCCACCTTTCGCATGCATATGATGCATTGAAAACGCCATGACTTGGGGCAGGCACACCGTAGTCTTCAAGGTGACGTCTTTGCTTTCCAACACTTCTTTTGTTCTGTTCGAATGACTGCCTCTTGATCTATGTACAGGTTCTTCATGAGCACAATTAAGTGTTCGGGAATTCCCATTCTTCCCAATGTTATCCATAATTTGTTATGATCCACACAGTCGAATGCCTTTGCGCAGTCAATGAAACACAGGCAAACATCTTTCTGGTATTCTTTGCTTTCAGTCAAGTTCCATCTGACATCAGCAATGATATCCCTGGTTCCACGTTCTCTTCTGAATCTGGCCTGAATTTCTGACAGTTCCTTGTTGATATACCGCTGCAACCACTTTTGAATGATCTCCAGCATAATTTTCCTTGTGTGTGATACGAATGATCTTGTTCCATAATTTCCGCGTTCAGTTGGATCACTTTTCTTGGGAATAGGCATAAATATGGATCTCTTCCAGTCGGTTGGCCAGGTAGCTGTCTTCCAAATTTCTTGGCATAGACAAGTCAGCACTCTGAGTGCTTCATCCATTTGCTGAAACATCTCAATTGGTATTCCGTCAATTCCTGGAGCCTTGTTTCTCACCCATGCCTTCAGTGCAGCTTGGACTTCTTCCTTCAGTACCGTCGGTTCCTGATCATATGCTACCTCCTGAAATGGCTGAATGTCGACCAATTCTTTCTGATATAATGACTCTGTATATTCCTTCCATCTTCTTTTGATGCTTCCTTCATCATTTAATATTTTCCCCATAGAATCCTTCACCATTGCAACTTGAGGCTTGAATTTTTTCTTCAGTTCTTTCAGCTTGAGAAATGCCGAGAGTGTTCTTCCCGTTTGGTTTTCTATCTCCAGGTCTTTGCACATGTCATTATAATATTTTACTTTGTCTTCTCAAGCTGCCCTTTGAAATCTTCTGTTCAGCTCTTTTACTTCATCCTTTCTTCCTTTTGCTTTAGCTACTTGACATTCAAGAGCACGTTTCAGAGTCTCTTCTGACACCCATTTTGGTCTTTTCTTTCTTTCCTGTCTTTTTAACGACCTCTTGCTTTCTTCTTGTATGATGTCCTTGATGTCATTCCACAACTCATCTGGTCTTCCATCATTAGTGTTCAACACATCAACTCTATTCTTGAGATGGTCTCTAAACTCAGGTGGAATATACTCAAGGTCGTACTTTGGCTCTCGTGGACTTGTTCTAGTTTTCTTCAGTTTCAGTGAACTTGCATATAAGCGATTGATGATCTGTTCCTAAGTTGGCCCCTGGCCTTGTTCTAACTGATGATATTGAGCTTTTCCATCATCTCTTTCCACAGATGTAGCCAGTTTGATTCCTTTGTATTCCGTCTGGCAAAGTCCACGTGTATAGTCACCGTTTATGTTGGTGAAAAAAGATATTTGCAATGAAGAAGTCGTTAGTCTTGCAAAAGTCTATCATGTGATCTCCGGCATCATTTCTATCACCAAGGCCATGTTTTCCAACTACCGATCCTTCTTCTTTGTTTCCAGCTTTCGCATTCCAATCACCAGTAATTATTAATGCATCCTGATTGCATGCTCGATCAATTTCAGAGTGCAGAAGCTGATAAAAGTCTTCAGTTTCTTCGTCTGTGGCCTTAGTGATTGGTGCTTAAATTTGAATAATAGTCATATTAACTGGTCTTCCTTGTAGGCGTATGGATATTATCCTATCACAGACAGCGTTGTACTTCAGGATAGGTCTTGAAATGTTCTTTTTGAAGATGAATGCAATGCCATTCCTCTTCCGTTGTCATTCCTGGCACAGTAGACCATATGATTGTCTGATTCACAATGGCCAATATCAGTCCATATCAGCTCACTAACACCCATACCCTTGCCAAACCTAGATTGATCGATTGTCCTCGTTTTTGCTAATATGTGAGGTAGAATCATTGTTTCATTTAAATATGTGTGTCTTTCATTAGAAAGATTAGGCACCTTCTCATCTGTCTAATAGCAGTCAATATTTCTTCTTCCATGAAGCACTTATTCACTTTATTTCTCATTTTGGGCAGTGGGGCAGGTATTTTGCCCTTTTCTCATTTATCTCTAGGAATTCTTTGTTTAGTGGAGAATTTAACCTCTGGTCTCTGCTTTATCGCTGCCAGTCATTCATGTTTTGGTTTTACTTAACAATAAACTTGAAAGGGAATCAGGCTCGTGGCAGTTCTGTTTCGGAACAGGTCTTACAGAGCTTAGAAAAATCATAACAGAAGGAAAGTTCCCTTCTTACGCTGCCGCCTCGTGCCAGGACAGGAGCAGCTTTTCCCAAATTATCTTTGAAGAGCAGAGTGCCGGGTTCCACCGGGGCCAGGCAGGCTGGGAGTGGGGCAGAGAAGAACGTCCACACCCCCAGCTGCGCCCCTGGACAGGCACCCTGGGAACTTACACACCTGGGTGCTGGGAATCTGGCATCTGTGTTCACCGACCCGCGTGTGGGCTGACAACTCCCCCCAGAGGTCACTGGCGGCTTCTGTCTCTGTTTGGAGTGGACTGCGGTAGAGGACTGTGCCTGAGGAAATGTAGCGAACTCTGAAGGCAGCACACTAAGATGTGGTCAATGATGATCCTAAAATTCTAGGCATTTTTGCCATTTGAAAATCAAGCCATTGGGACCACCCAAGATAAAAGTGTGGTTTCGTATCGTTTAGCATTTTAAATCTTTGTTCTTCCTCCTCCTCCAACACACACATACACACACACCGCACACTGTCACACATGTGCACACACATACACAGCACACACACTCCCGTACACACACACATCCCTCACATACTCTCTCACACAAAAAAATGCATTCATGCACCACACATTTTCTCACACATGCACACAAGCTCACACACTATACACTCACACATGTGCACACACATACACAGCACACACACACATCCCCCACACACTCTCTCACACACACAAATGCGTTCATACACTATACATTCACTCACACATGTGTACACACACTCTTACACACGCACCCCACAAGTCTCACACACACACAGATGCAGTCTCCACATGCCCACACGTGCACACACATAAACAACACACACACTTCCATACACACACACCCCGCACACACTCTCTCACACACACAAATGCATTCATGCACCACACGCTCACACGTGTGCACACACATGTATGCACACACACACAGATTCCTGTGATCCTCCTGGCAGTTCTGACTCCATGGTTGTCTGTGTGCAGATTCTCCGGGTGTGCCTCCCAGTGCCAACGCACACCATCTGTTTAGAGGATTCAGTTTTGTGGCATCAAGCCTGGTCCAGGAGCACTCGCAGCAAGATCTCCACAAGGTCACGGTCCACCCCATCGTGCAGGTAATCCTGGAAGGCCCAGATTCCACCTCATCCAGCGGGTCCTAGTTGACGAGGCCTAGGCATCACTGTGCACAGGACACCTGCACAGAGACGCAGAGTCGCCCTTGGCGGCTGGGATTTGAACGGGGTCCACTTTCAGTCACTGACGCCTCTCCTTCGGGCACGTCTGGGTTTTATATGACCCCCGGAGCCGTGTCCCAGTGGTGTTTGTCAAGCGCGGTTTGAACCATTGCTCATACCCCTGCCTCACATTCGTCTTACAGAAGGAAAAAGAAGGTCCTGAGAAGGATGCACTGTGGTGGGCCTGTGACTGAGGGCCCCAGGAGTCAACTGTGGGCGTCCCCCACGTGGAGTCAGGCAGTGCCCTGGGGCAGGGTTTGACTTGTGGGCGCCTTTGTCTCCGGTGAAGTGTGCTCTTGGGAGGGCGATAGGAGATGAAGTTTTTATAAGGTGTCTTCCACCTTATAAACGTAAGCGGAATATAGGGAACTCTTTAAAGGAGGATTATGACTGCATTTTCCTTAAGAACCGAGTCAGGGTAAGGTGGACGGCACTGGGCTCCCGTGGCTGTTTCTGTCCCCGGAGTCTTTTGGGGAAAGATGGCTTGTGTGACGCGGAGCCTTGATGTTAGCGTGTACACAGGCCCTCGGCAGGCTGCCCCTTGGAAGCCATGGAGTCCAAGCACCGTTCACATCCAGATACTAGCTCTGAACCCAAGCCCTGAGCCACGCCTGCGTCCACCCGTGTCTATATCTCTTCACTCTGGTTCTTATTCTCACTCCGGGAAGACATGGCAGCTAGTGGACACTGCAACGTGGTGTTGAAAACATAAGAATTAGCAGGGGGCTCTGTGACCCTGAGCAAATAAATCCACTAACCCACCAGGTCGCGACCCAGGACCTCCTTTTTCCCCACGTTCTTGCTGGCTGTGGCTGTTTGTGTGAGCGACGGCCGACGGGTCTTCTCTCGGTCTGTCTCTCAGCAGCTGCATGGGAACAACATCCACTTCACCGATGGCTACGAGATCAAGGAGGACATTGGCGTGGGCTCCTACTCCGTGTGCAAGCGGTGCGTGCACAAAGCCACAGACGCGGAGTACGCCGTGAAGGTAAGGCAATGTCAGCGCGGCGGGCAGCGCCTCGGGCCAGCCAAATGCAGCCACAACAGCTGCTGGGCGGGGCAGTGACTCCAGGACACACCTGGACCCAACAGTACTTCAGCACTCAGCCTCTCTGGGAAACAGCTTCTCTCCGCTCCCCATTTTCCAGGCCCTAGTCAGGTGCCGCTTAGTTTGCTTGGCTGTTAGGTCACCATAGAACATTGTTTTGCAAATCATAAATGTGTTCAGTTATATCCACACAGGTAGGTATTGACCACCTTTCATAGCCTTAGATATAATGCGTCCTTAGAATAAAAGCTTTGGGGCACCCAGTGTTCTGGAGAAAAATGGGGCTGGTGTCAGGCATAGCATTTGGTGAGGGAAGGAAGGAGGGAGGGAAGGAAGGAAGGAAAGGAGGAGGGAGGAAAGGAAGAAAGGAAGGAGGGAAGGAAAGAGAGGGGGAGGGAAGGAAGGAAAGAGAGAGGGAGGGGAGGAAGGAAAGAGAGAGGGAGGGGAGGAAGGAAGGAAAGAGGGAGAGAGGGGAGGAAGAAGGAAAAAGGGAGGGAGGGGAGGAAGGAAGGAAAGAGGGAGGGAGGGGAGGAAGGAAGGAAAGAGGGAGGGAGGGGAGGAAGGAAGGAAAGAGGGAGGGAGGGGAGGAAGGAAGGAAGGAGGGAGAAAGAAGGAAGCGAAGGAAGGAGGGATGAAAGAAGAAGGGAAGGGAAGCAGGAGAGAGGGAGGGAGGAGGGAAGAAAAGGCAGACAGTGATTGTTGGGAGTTGTCCTTCCCCCGACCCCGCCACTTCACAACTGGGGGGTGTGAAGGAGGACTTGACGGAAACCCACCCTTGGCGCGGGCAGATGCTCTCCCCACACATAGATACAAAGATGGTAGGGACTATGCGTGGATTCTGCTTTAGAGGAAAGAGCTTCATGTATACTTTTAAGTTGTATTTTACATGTGCCTCATAAGCATAAATGTGCTTCTTAGAATCTTTTCTGCTTAAATCACTTCTCAGAATTTCTTTAAATAGTCTGTCAGGTGACCAGCAACAATCCTAGAAACAAGCCCTGCTTACCAGCGAGTGCAGAGAAACAAGCCCATTGTTCAGCCAGGCTCAGCAGCCAGGCAGCCCTTCTAGAAAACAGGCTTCTACTGTGAGTCTGATCAGCTATTGTTTTGTGCCTCAGAAAATAATCCCCCCCATTGACAAAGGCAATGGTATGTTTCCCTGAATGTCCCCACACCCAGTTCTCACATAAAGACACCATCTGAATTCAGCTTTGTCAAATGGCCTGTAACTTGATTCCCAAAGACCTTGTTGAGACCAAGCTGTGATGGAGATCTCTGAAGAACTGCAGCTACAGCCCACTCAGGCAGAAGAAGCAGGTGGTGTAGTCCCTGCTTATAGGACAGGAGAGAGCCAGCACTTCCCGTTTCTTTTTGACAGGCCTTAAGCTTCCCTGGGCAAGTTTAGTGTGTGTACATTACTTTGGCTGAAGATAATTGAAAAGAGGCTGCAGCAATATGTCTACAGGGAACTGCCAGAAATTCAGGCCAGATTCAGAAGAGAACATGGAACCAGGGATATCACTGCGGATGTCAGAAGGATCCTGGCTGAAAGCAGAGAATACCAGAAAGATGCTTTCCTGTGTTTTATTGACTATGCAAAGACATTCGACTGTGTGGATCATAACAACTTATGGATAACATTGCAAAGAATGGGAATTCCAGAAGACCTGATTGTGCTCATGAGGAACCTGTACACAGATCAAGAGGCAGTTGTTCGGACAGAACAAGGGGATACTGGTGGTTTAAAGTCAGGAAAGGTGTGGGTCAGTGTTGTATCCTTTCACCATATCTATTCAATCTGTATGCTGAGCAAATAATCCAAGAAGCTGGACTACGTGAAGAAGAATGGGGCATCAGGATTGGAGGAAGACTCATTAACAACCTGCGTTATGCAGATGACACAGCCTTTCTTGCTGAAAGTGAAGAGGACTTGAAGCTCTTACTGATGAAGATCAAAAACCACAGTCTTCAGTATGGATTACACCTCAACATAAAGAAAACAAAAATCATTGGTGAGTGGCGTCTGGGGTCTTAAAAGGTTGCAAGCGGCCATCTAAGATGCATCAGTTGGTCCCAACCACCTGGAGTAAAGGAGAATGAAGAACACCAAAGACACAAGGAAAGTATTAGTGCAAGAGACAGAAAGGGCCACATAAACCAGAGACTTCATCATCCTGAGACCAGAAGAACTAGATGGTGCCTGGCTACCACCAATGACCGCCCTGACAGGGAACACAACAGAGAGTCCCGGATGGAGCAGGAGAAAGGTGGGGTGCAGAACTCAAATTCTAGTAAGAAGACTAGACTTAATGGTCTGACTGAGACTGGAGGAACCCCAGAAAGCATGGCCCCTGGATTCTCTATCAGCCCCCTCGATTCTGTATCAGCCCAGAACTAAAACAATTTCCAAGACCAACTCTTCAGACAGGGATTGGACTGGACTGTGGGACACAAAATGATACTCGTGAAGAGTGTGCCTCTTAGCTCAAGTAGATACATAAGACTAAACAGGCAGCTTCTGTCCAGAGGTGAGATGGGAGGCAGAGAGGGTTAGGAGCTGCTTGAATGGACATGGGGACCCAGAGGTGGAAAGGAGGAGTGTGCTGTCACAGTATGGGGAGAGCAATTAGAGTCACATAACAATGTATGTATAAATTTTTGTATGGGAAAAAATTTTTTTAAAAAATCACAACTGCGCCAATAAGCAACATCATGATAGATGGAGAAAAGGTTGAAGTTGTCAAGGATTTCATTTTACTGGATCCACAATCAACACTCATGGAAGCAGCAGTCAGGAGATCAAAAGATGCATTGCATTGAGCAAATCTGCTGCAAAAGACCTCTTTAAAGTGTTGAAAAGCAAAGATGTCACCTTGAAGACTAAGGTGCGCCTGACCCAAGCCATGGTATTTTCAATCGCATCATATGCATGCAAAAGCTGGACAACGAATAAGGAAGACCAAAGAAGAATTAACACCTTTGAATTGTGGTGTAGGTGAAGACTTGTGAATGTACCGTGGACTGCCAAAAGAACGAACAAATCTGTCTCGGAAGAAGTACAACCAGAGTGCTCCTTAGAAGTAAGGATGGCGAGACTATGTCTTACATGCTTTGGACGTGTTGTCAGGAGGGATGGCCAGTCCCTGGAGAAGGACATCATGCTTGGTAAAGTAGAGGGTCAGTGAAAAAAGAGACAAACCCTCAAAAGATGGATTGACACAGTGGCTTCAACAATGGGATCAAGCTTGACAACGACTGGGAGCATGGCGCAGGACCGGGCAGCATTTCGTTTTGTGGTACGTAGGGTCGCTCTGAGTCAGAACTGACTCGACGACATCTAATAACAACAGCATTACAGGGATTTCCCTCCCCTTTCAGAGATTACCAAACCCACTGCCTTCAAGTTGATTCCAACTCACAGCAACCTCATAAGGTTTCCAAGGCTGTAAATCTTTACAGAAGCAGACTGCCACATCTTTCTCCCATGGAGCCGCTGGCGGTATCAAACCACCCACCTTTCAGTTAGCAGTTGAGTGCTTTAACCACTGTGCAACCAGGGCTCCTCATCAGAGATTACTGTGGGTCATAATTTATTGTCTGGAAAATGCTTCAGGTAGCCAAGAGCAGGAAGGATCCTGACTGCAAAGCCCAGGGAGTTTTCAGCAAGATGCAGATCTCGTCCAGCGTGCTCTTCGTGCCGCGGGCTGTTCGGGGGGCGTGTTTAAGCGGGGTGTTGGGACGTCAGTTCACGTTGTCTAAGGGCGCACACACGTGTTCAGATTTCTCTCAAAGGTGAAAGAGCAGGCAGGAGTTTTCTGGCAAAGAGGTCATCCTTTCGAATGGGCCCGTTAGTGACCCAGCTGCTGCGACATAACATGGATCCCTGTTCTGTCCCATTTAAGACTTTCAGGGTAAATGGTAATTGAAATCCACTCGGGCTTGTTCTGTGTCATGTTGGTAAGTAGTAGTATCCCCATTTACTGAGGGAGGAACTAATAGCAGAATTATGTGTGTTTGATTATAGCCCAGAACTCAGAGTGTGGTGTGTAATTGTTTGCTACGTAGGTTGGCTCCTGGTTCAGCAAGTGTCCGTTTACGGTCAGTCCTTAGAACTTAGCTCCGCCTCTCTCAGCTGCCACTTGGGCAGTTTGAACGTCCAGCTATCCAGGTTCTTGCAGGGCTCTGGATGAAAAAGGGTGTCTGTTTCATTTTGAGAAACAGTCCAGTCAGAGCCAGGCAGGGCATTCTCATCCAGCGACATGGGTGACTCAGAAATCTTCCCTCTGAGTGAAGAGCGAGAGAAAAGAAAGCCGCCGTCTTACCTCAGCAGCCAGCACTGTGACCGGAACACTGTGGTTTCTCCTGGAGCACTCGTTCTCAGCTGGGGTGGTGTTGCCCTCAGGAAACACTTTTAGTTGTCACAGCTGGGGTGGGGGTGCTCCTGGCATCTAGTAGGTAGGACCCAGGGGTGCTGCTGACCAGGCTACAATGCACGGGACAGTCCCCACAACAAAGAATGGTCCATCCCCAACGTCAGCAGAACAGAGGAGGAGAAACTCTGACCCAGGACATCCTGCTAGGGGAGCATCTCATGTGGACAGATTCCAGAGGCTAGAACTTTGAGATGAGGGAGCGTTCCGTCTTTGGAAAGTTTCAGGTTACTCTGGTACTGTATGACAATCTAGCCAAGAGCTTAGTGCTTCCCAAGCTTTTCCCAGTGGCGCAGCTGTGGAGCTGGCTCCACGCAGCCCCATGCTGTAAGCCAAGAGTGACTCAAAGGCCAGGTCCACCTGAGGGGTGGTCACAGCAAGCTCTCCCTCTGTGGGGTCAAGTGGTCAGGCTCGGGGCACGGATGGATTCACGCTCATACTCTTATCCTTGGAAATACCATGATACTTGGCTTTTAAGTTCACTTCTACATCTTACAGACACTGAATTTT